GCAGCCCATGGCCCACATGTCACCTGGTGCGAGGTGCTCTTGCAAACAGTTCAGGCAGATCTCTTCCCCAGGCGCTGTTTTTTTGGATTTCCCTGAAGCTCCCCTTCCCTAAATAAATAATGGGGTACTGGGTTACATTATATATGATTAGTAACCTACTATTCAAGTAGCTGGTGCTTCAATGTTGTTTAACGGTTGTGGTTTGGAGGACTTGCGGTTGGCAGTGATGCAGGGGCGTTAACAATTTGAAAAGGGTTCGGGACATACTCAAACACATACACATAGACACATATGTATGTATGTATGGATGTGTGTATGTGTGGATGTGTGTATGTGTATATATAGATATACATACTGATATTACACACATATAAATACATATATGCACAGGTGCACACATTCAGGTCCTACACTTGAGACTTGACTCTGGCATCTCAGCCCCCCCCCCCCCCCACCCCCTTGGCTGGGCTTCTGCAGCCCTGTATTTCGGGGTTGGATGCTCAACTGGTGGATATCCCAAACGAAACACTTGTCAACAAACGAACAAAAAGCCCCGTACTCCGAGCGCGAAAACTATATGACCGTTCCCCCAAAACCAACGAACCTCGCTCATTCTATGAATTTTCCTCTCTTCCGTCGCCTGGCGCCCCGCCAAGAGATCTGGATTCCAAGACCTGCCCGGAAAATCGACCAGCAGCCACTTCGCATTAATGTCGGACTCAGGAACTTTGCTCTTCGGGTCTTTCGGGACCAGGGTGCCAGACTGCGGGAAGTGCGTGCATGGTGTGGAGATGCGGAAGTTTCAGAACATAAGAGGGTCCTACAAGCGGGATCCAAGTTGTAAGGCCCCGCAAGGGGCCACCACAACATAAGACTTGGATTTGGTCTTCGACTTGGGACAGCCAGCAGCCAGAAGGTCATAGTATTTTGGGCTTAAGGTGCTAAGGCTCGGGAGTTCCTGAGATTCCTAAGGTTCAAGGGTCAGTATCCTGAAGAAACGACCATGTCAATAGGGCACACGTGTGAAGACTAAACCCTGAGTCCCGTCAAACCTGCCCCAAACACCCCCGCCCTCGAAGTCCAACCCTTTGTTTTGTGTATGTATGCATACAGATCTATACATATATCATTTATCGGTCTGTATAGCCATATCTGTGGCCATACAGATATCTACCTATATATGTTTACATATACATGTATATATATATATATATATACATGTATATAAACCTCTCTATATCTGTATCTATATCGATACCTATATTATCCCATCTACCTATCTATCTATCTATCTATCTATCTGGGTGTATATATATATATATATACACATAATACATACTGCATCACACAGGCACCGTCGAAAGCTCGAGAGCCCGAACACGACGCACCCCACCAAGTAATCACAAGCCGGGTCGTCCTCGGAGCCCGGTTCGGAATCATGGCCAATTGTCTGAAGGCTTTCACACTACAACTAAGAAGTCTAACACAGAGAAAGGAAAACTGCAATAATCCTCTAAAGCCTAAGCAGTAAATCCTGAGTGTTTCTCAAACCTCGCTCATGGTTAGTTTCCACTATATCACCTCACGAGCCTCTAGTGGTCTGTGATGCTGCCACTCGAGGTCCGCAACGATGCCTTGGTAAAACTCGCCTCGGCACAGAGTGCGGATTCGTCTTAGAGCTGGTTATAGGGTTTGGGGTTTCGGGGTTTTGGTGTTTAGGGTTTGGGGTGTGGGTAGGGTTTAGGTTTATCGTTTTGGGCTTTAGGTTTAGTGCCGTTTAGGGTTAAGGAAATAAGGTTCAATCTGGGGTGTGCGAGCTGGTACATCCCAATGGAACCCTAAACCATAAAGCCCATAAAACCCTAGCCTAAGAGCTTAAAGCCCCTCTCAAGCTTCACTAGCTGCCACTAGCTGTCGGCTGAGAGATTGAAGCTCAAGGCTTAGAGCCTGGAGCTGCTAGTGGTACTGATAGCATTTTTTCTGCATGGAAGTTGCAAGGTTAACAACAATAACAATACTAATGTAGATTTATATGTGTATATATATATATATATATGTATGTGTGTGTATATATATATATGTATATATAGAGGGTAAGCCAAAGTGTTAAGGCAGTTGATGACGACATAGAACTTCCGAGACTACGCAGACTCTTTCCTTTACACGCCCACGCTATGGAGTCCTTGCAAGAGGTCCTGTCTCAACCAGCATAAACATCAATTACAAAGCTCCCAGTGTATATATGATGAGTTTAGGATAGCAAAACATGTGGCTTGCTATTCTGACGAGAGTACGCTCAGTAGCTATTCGGGCCTCAGCCCCCAGAATTTCTCCAATCACGCCCCGCAAACCTCAATGCTCTCAACCCCTAAACCCGAAGTTCTACACAATGAACCCCAAAGCCTTTAATCTCATCTTATGCTAGCCGCTAGCCTACCCCGTTAGCTGTACGTGGACTGGAAGGGCTTTGCACTTGTTTCTATCAGACTCCTGCAGTATAAGTTTCTGGAAGAGGTTGCAGAAAGCAAGGAACCCGAATCTAGACAGTAGACATGGACACATGTACTCATTGTGGACTCCACCAGAACAGACCCATAATGTTCTGAACCTGCCACGGTGACCTCCTATTTCGGCATCTGGTTTTCTGGGGCAAACCGCTCCTCCAAAATCCTGGCCTGTGGTGTTGGCTTTACAGTTGAGGATTAGAGATTGGAGTTTGGGCGGGCCTTGGAACTCGCCGTGTGAAGCCTAGGATTCAGGTGTAATTCCATCCCAGACCCAACTCCCAAACTCTGAGATCTAAAGCGATAAACTCGAGATCTTCGGCCTTACTACTGAGAAGAAGTTCTTAGTGTATATGGTTGTGAGTTTTAGCACAGTTCTATAGGGACTATAGGAGACGGGATAGTATGACAAACTACAATACAGATTCTTACATTTGCGGACTAATGTACGAGCCTGATTAAGAAACCTTGAGTCTTCATCGGGGTTCTGTGTATATGGATTTAGGGTTTAGGGTTTATAGGGTTTAGGGTTCAGGGTTTAGGGTTTAGGGTTTAGGGTTTAGGGATATAGGGCCAGGGTTCCTTGTTCAGGTTCCGACATTAGTCGGATGATGTTCTCCTCCTTAGCCTGCCGTGTTTCGCAGTGCGAGCGAGGGGCGCACCTCAGCCGAGGCTTCATCAGCGATCGGAGCATCGGCTGGGTGCATGAAGCCTCGATCGTGTGCTGTCTTTGGGATTGAGCAGTAGTCATGAAAACATTGACCGGGAGAGGATACATGCAAAACCGGCACAAGTATATGCATGTGTATGAACCCATGTATGGATGCACAAATATATATGTACATGTATATAAATATATGTGTATGTATAGATACATAGACTTATGTACGTTCATAAGTTTTAAAATCTAAGCATTGGATATCCAGAAGCCGCCTTCGTTCGGGTGGAGCTTTGAATCAGAGCTCATTGAGAGCAGCCCAAGTACGTAAATTAAATGTACGTTGTGTACATATACCGATAGAGAGAGATACATTTATGTCTACAATCTACATCTATATCTGCATCCGTCTACAATTATATTTACATCTCTACCTGACCCGTTTGGGATTTCGGCCAAGAGGTTCTGGCACCCAAGCGACAGAGATCGCTGAGCTGAATGTCGTCCTGGAAGCCAAGGTCAAGCACATCATTTCAGGTTTTTGGAGTATATTATCGGGTTTAGGGTTTAGCGTTTTGGGTATACTATGCTATAAATGTAACAGGGAACCCCCCAAGATAGTAGACAAGGACGTGTCAATGGGGCTACGCGACGGATTCTGAAGTTGCTTCAGATGGCAGGGTTGAAGACTTGAGAGTCTAGAGAAATGGTCGTTAAAGCCTGCCGGGCTTAAAAGAATCTGAGGATTTCAGGTTTTGACAAGCTTTTAGGCTGAAAGCCGAAGAGGGCTTAATTGTAGGGGCCTTAATAATTTGAATAGGGTTTTTCGGGCTCCTTATTTCCACTATATGGAAACCCTATTCTCATCATTAAGGCCCCTACATTAGGTCTAGGCTGTAAGGTGGCGGGTTCCCAGGCTCGGGTCCGCATGAAAGGTGCCACAGGGCAAAGGGGTGTTTTAGGGTCTACCCAAAGGCACCATCGTAGTTCTTTTTCTGGTTACCTTATAGGATTATACATTAGAACCCCAAAAAGTGGGGCCTATGGGTAGGGTTCATGGGGACTTGGAATGCCAGAGCCGCTGCAATTGGAATAGGGTCTGCCGGATGGACCGCAGGGAAATACCACTACAATCTACGCAGATCCCTCTATTGGGCCCTCTCAGTTTGGGTGTTGCACAAGCGAAGGAGTACTCGCACACAGACCTGTTGTACACGAAACCAGGATAACGCCTCCTTGGCCGAAGCTCTAGAACCTTCCAAGCACTTGCCTTTCAAGAAGTCACAAAATTTAAGGCTCTACATCTTCTTCGCGTTTTAGCTGGGCGTTAGGGAAACTTTGCTGTTTGTTGCAAATCCTCCGAGGAACTTGATGATATTACTATTCCTAGACTCTAAACCCTATACCTGGACCCTACACCCACAAAGGTTGAGGGTTTAGGGTAGAGACTGCACGAAAACAACCACGTGCACACTCAGAAAGCAATACTTGCAGGGGCCCGAACAACTTGCAATAGTGTTCCCTTGAAGTCCCGATATAGATTACAACAACATGCATCAACACGTTTGTTCTTTTTCAGTTCTTTACATCAGAGACCCCTCAAAATTCCAACCCGCACCCGCGGCTGTGAAGGACGAGTAATTGATGCGGCGTGACCCTAAAAGCAATACCTCAACTCTGGCTGTTTCGGGCTTGGGAATCGACGGTCAGGTTTCCAAACTGCCACAGACTACCCATAGGCCCCAAAGTAGTTCCTTTTTCGGGGTTCATATATAGAAACCTATAAGGTAGTCCCAAAAAGGAACTACTTTGGGGCCCATGGGTAAGTCAAGCCCTGATTATTGGATCGGTAAACCTGCGACCAAGGGGACGGAAGCAAGATTTTCAATCCTGAGAAGCTCAAGCCAAGGCTCATTGGCATTCAGCCAGACGTTGCTTGGGCAGACGTTTCCGTGGGCATAGCCAAGCGAGTGCAGGAACCTTGGATTGTGTCTGAGATTGGCGAAAAGGCGGTTCATTTCGTGGAAGGGACAAAGAAACATTGGGAATCGCATGAGACAGTTGCAATGCATCTGTATGTGCATATGTACACAAACATTTGTATATAGTGTACATATAACATTTATGTACATCCATCATCACTGTGTTTATGATTTCCGGCTTCTTTATTTTATCATTCATTTCTTCACCCCTGTTTCAATCGTCATTACTTGATCGTTTTGGGGACGGTTGGGGCCCTTTTCCGACCAACTGATGAAGAACGATAATGTCCTGAGGGTTTCCTCGCTTTCGAACAGGGTAAAATCCTGGAGACTACAATGATAATTCCTAAAGGTCTCCTCATTTTTCGAAATTTTCAGGATTCCCTTGATAATCTTTTACATATGGCGACACGGTCTCTGTACGAACGAATCTCATAAGCTAGGGTTCCAGATAAGATACCTATGGGCATGGATACTTAGAACGCCAACTATTAAGCTACTTACAACCTTTCCTGCTCATTCCCCTCATCCTCCAAGTATTAGGAAGTCTTCTAACGCAGATGGTCCGATCTCGCCATATGCCGCCATCCCATCCCCAACGCCCTAGACCCCGTAACCAGGACCATAAATCCAATCCCCATTCCAGAGAAACTCCAATAGAGATCTTGTGCAATTCCGAAGGACCCGTGCCATAATTGTTCGATGTTCCCGGTCTCATTCCCTAGAACGACCTCCCCCCAGCCCTAAACCCAAACCTCCTGCTCCTACACACAATATGAGGTAATCACCCTTCGCCGATCCTCCACGATCCTTTAATTAAGAGAGATCGTATATGGCTACATTGAATCTGGGATAGCTGGGAACTGCCAACTCCAACATCCCGAGCCCCAAAAAACAACCCCGCACCTCAGGCCCCGCAGGATGTTGTAAGCGAAATAGTCGACCTGGGCGTCTCTGATGGTGCTGCGTGGCATCAGAAGACTGTTGGCAAGAATCCGATTTGTCCAGACTGCAATCGTGCGTCATGCATTCTGCAGCGGTTTTTGTAGGGAAAATCCAGGTATGCAGCTGCCCATGACAGGCTGCGACGAAAGATGAGCCTTTATGACACGCAATGCATCAAGTACAGCTCTGGATCTTGAAGCTTTATGGGTTGATGTGCATTGGACGAAGGTTTCCGTTTGGATGTCGACTACATATTACAAAGGGATTACTATACATATTATGAAAGAAGAATACTATACATATGATAAAGGGAGTGCGCATTTCTGTCGACAAAGTCTCACCACGTCGAGGTTGGTTCCGGAACTGAGGTATTGCTGTCCGCAGATTTGGGGACCCTAAACCCTAAACCCTAAAACCCTAAACTACACAATACATAACATGCCGCCCTTGGCAAGGCTTGGGGTGTACTAAAAGGATCATGGGACTTGGTAACTAGGGTTATAATTAAGGTAACTGTACTTATAATTACTTATAACCCCAATTAAGGTACTTATAACCCTACTTACTAAGCCCCATGATCCTCCAAGTAGGGTTGTGGTTCAGGGTTGCAGGTAAGTATGAACGCACCATTTCCGCTGAGCCTTCGGGGTTCATGTTTCCCTCTTTCCCTGCCCCTCAATCCTAGGTTCCTGAGAACCGCCAGAATAAAAAGGTACCCTTGTCCTACTATTTGGTTGTAATGGAGCCCAAAAAGACTACTCAGGAACCTAGACTCCCTTTCCCTTTTCAGGTCTATTTTGGGGGTCCTGCAGTTTCTGAATGTTTCTCACACGCTGGGACTTGTCAGTCCCGAAAACACACCAACAAGCACAACTCGTCAACCCTTCTACACGCCGACGAAACTGCTAACCTCTATATGAGCATACATGCCCAGAACTGCAGACGGGAAACTTGCGTTGTAGATCCCAAGCCCTGAAAGCGTAAGTTTCCGGACGCCCTGAACCGTACAGCCGTCAAGCCCAAGCCCTGCCAAAACCCATGAGACCGTCGATCCTAAAACGTTCAAAGAAAAAGCTTAAACACCCTAATGTAGGAACATGATTAAGAAACCGTGGGCCTTTGTCGGGGTTCCTTATATGAATCCTACTTTGGGGTTATAGGCCCAGGGCTTCTTAATCAGGTTCCTGCATTAAGCTCCAATAGAGTACCAGTCGGCATGGTTCGTTGTCAGGTGCAGGTGCATAGGAGATCGAAGGACGGCTGCCATGGAGGTCCTTGTGACTGAAAACTTACTTAGCCCGCAGTGTTTTAGGTTCTTCCATGAGCTTTCGTCTAGCCTTATTCGGATCGAGGCCCTTGTCAAATTCAGAAGAAAGGATCCGGGATTTCGGCTACAAGCACCAGGATCCTATGGATTCACACAGAGAGGTGTCTGTATGGACCCATGACAACTGAGCATTCATACCAGTTCATACCGCCGTTTCGCACATTGGTCTTCGGATTTAGGTCTGCCGCCACTAGCAGGGTCAGTCTCAGACTTGAAGGTGTACCTAGATCCTGCAACTACCCCGATACTTCATGGATCATGGGGCTGACGAACCAGGGCTATAAATAAACTGCAATCTATCGCTGTAAATATACCTATGACCATTTAAACCCCAATTGCGTCCTGTGATCTTCGAACTAGCCTCTTCGTGTAAGGTCGCCACTACGGCTACTTGGGGGTCCTGGTTAGGTTCGAGGTCGCAAGACTCGCACGCCAAGCGTCTCCATGTAGTCAAAGATGCAGTACCTTGGATGCGCTTGGCGAAATATTAGCCCCGAAACCGAAAAAACCTACACCCAAAACCTTGAACGCGAACCCCAAATCCGCAAACCCTGTGAACGGGGTCAAATAAGATTCAGGCTCCTGCCCGGCTGCCCTGAATAGTAAGACTAGGTTCCTGGGGAGGACGATAGACGAAAGCCTTGAGCCTTCGACCTACACCCTCAATACACGGACATAAAAAAACGCAGAATCCACAGGTTTAGATACAAAGCCAAAGGGTAGGAAAGTGGCTGCTTTTCTATGACGCCACTTACTCACATGTGCTGAGTTTCTGCTGGTTCCGAAAATACAAAACTCTGGACTACGATCTCAGACAGAAACTCCCAACAAAGCCTATGTGGCACTTGCATCATGGATTTAGGGCTCAGGGCTGTGGGCTTTCAGCTTAGGGATGCTCTAGAGCATAGCAACATCAGCAGCAACTATTGCTTTTGCACGACTACTGGTCGAGGCGGTGGACATATACGTAAATCCTTATGTCTCAACTCTTAGGGTCCATGGACCCACACAACGCATACGCGCTCTGGCACTCCATGGCTTATATACTAGATGGGTATACTTGGGGCATTTAAAGCCAGAATATATGTACTGTATACTACATGTGTGGTTGGATTTTAAAATGCTTAGGCAGGGACCACGAAAAATTGCTGTTGAGCCCTGGAGCCAGCAGCCACCGCTAGCGGCAGGTGCTACGAAGAGGTCCTGCGAAACAAAAGCACATGCAACCTTAAGCGCCCTTGGAACCAGCATAAAGACAATATGTTGAGCAGTCGCTTGGAGTTTTACAATGCAGAATACGCACATGTCCTAAGAACACCATGGAAACTGGGCTGTTGATGAAGACATTGACTGAGCTTGTCAGAAGAAGGCAACATAATAGCACAACAAGCAAGATGCTTCCTGGTGGAATCTGACATTAAGTTCGGTTCCTTAACATGCCCTAGCGCCCATTCCCAAGACTGTCGAGTGATCGAACACGCAAGGTAGCCCAATACAAGTCTATGTGCTTTAGACAAGATTTGCCCAGGTGTAGGATGTAAGGCTGATGTAAGGTTTAGGTTCTTGAAATCTTTGGCAAACCCAGACCTGCACCACGACGAAATTCTCGTTGCGCCAGATCAGGAGAAACATGAACTCGTTGTAGAGGCGCTCGGCCATTTGAAGGTCCTTTGAAGAGCTTCAGGCACATCTTCCAACTTCTTGATGATCTGAGGGTCCAGGGCATTGAGCTTTGTAATCCCCCTTCTCATCCATATCAATCTCTTCCGGGTCTAGAGCATTGCTGCTGACTATTGTATCCTCAGAAAAACACCCAAGTCTTGACACTCTAAGCCCCAAACCAGAAGCAACCCGTCAAGCTACTACTCAGGGATCTCCGCACCCAGGAGTCTCCGCAGAAACTATAAGGGCCTCTTCATGATCAGAGTAAGGGTTCTGGCGGACATTCTGATATCACTTTGTTTAGAGTTTAGGGTTTAGGTTTTAAGGTTTAGGGTTTAGGGTTTAGGGTAAGTGGGAACCCCAGGGGGGATGCTGTTACAACAGGGGGGATGCTGTTACTACTTCTTCGGAATCTTTTGCCACTTGAAGACCCAGCCAAGGGCTTGACAAGACGTGCTTGTAAAGTCCAGCCGATGCTTTTCACTAACCCTTGATACGCGGGTGCGTCTTCTCCTAAGCCCAAAACCCAAAACCCGGACTGCCTATGCGGACCTGATAGGTCGCATAGCTCTTAGCCTTGAAATCCCTGCAGGTGACACCTCCAAAGCCTAGACCCGGAAACCTCAAGGCCTAAGTTAGGTTTTGTTAGGGTTTAGGGTTTAAGTTAGGGTTCAGGGTTTAGAGCTTTAGGGTGAGCAACTACCTAAATCCTTCAATCCCAAAAAAAGGGTTCGAAGCTCGAAGGTTAAGAATTTTCGCCTTAGCCTTAAGCCCCGGTTGTCGCCGAAGGGCAGAAGCCTCGGTTCGCCTGAACAGGATCCGCGACGGATATTGTTTTCCATCCTCCTGTGGGTTTAGGGCTTAGGGTTCTTGTTTTAAGCCGGGGTTTGGGTTTGGAGTTTAGGGATAATGGAGAAGTCTTTCTGAAAGCAGCCATGCTTGACATGTCAATGTGTGCATGCGAGACGGATGTACGCAGACAAGTGATAGACTGATAGATGTACTAAAACGCATGTCTCTGCCCATGCGTAAAGTTCTAACACCAAAACAGTGTCAGGCAGACAGAAAGACAGATACGTCACAACAGCAAAACGTCCAGGGGGTTGAATAATCAGGGTCCAAAACTTCAAATAGCCCGAAACCCTAAACCCTAAACCCGAAACCCCAAAGCCAACCTGGCTGCCTCACTGACCCGAAGCCAACACCTGAACCCTTTCTGCTACTGTAGGGGCTTTAAAAATTAGCATAGGGTTTTGGGGCCCATTATACTATAAATTAACTATAACAAGGAACGCCCGAAAAAGTATCGGTAACTATTAAAGCCGCTATCTTATGATTCGAGGCCTTGATGCTTGAGGTGTTTGGCGGTTTGGGGTTGGGCCTGAGATCCAACTGTTGAAGGTTCCGAGCATGGAGGGCTGTGAAGTTTGTAGGAGACCCTGAACCCTAGCCCGAAACCCTCACCCGAACCCCCAAATATCCCGAAATCACTCTTTTCAAGCTGGTCCTTGACGGCAGAGCCATGAACGTTCTTGAACTGCAGCATCTTCCTGACCTGTTGCAGGCTTACCTTATTATACGGGCCCTTCTGGGGGTTCCTGAGCATTTGTTTCGGAGTTTCACGACTTCTTAAAATCCGGGGGCTCCGTTCTAGGAGTCATCATGGTTGCACGTTGGGTTCCGTATGAGCACCCCGCGTGTTAGCCTTGGCCACGAGCTCTCAGCTGCAGGGCTTCGGGGCTAGAGTTTTCACAGACAGCTTGGGCAGTTGATGTGTGCTAGGGCTTGGGGGAGTGAAAGGTACAGAGTCGAGGGCCGTTGGTTTAGCCTACATGGCTCGCCATCTGAAGGGTTAATTGAATTTGTGGATGAGGCTTTGATGTGTTGAGCTTCGGGCCTACGTATAACTCTGCATCGGCAGAACCCTGCAGAACAGTAGACCAACAGACAACTCACCTTGCAGGACTGCGGCAACAAGCCACACCCCACGGCAGTTGGAGCAAATCATGCACTACATTAGGGTTGAAACTTAGCATTGAACCGAACCCTACAACCCTAAAACCTGGGCCTAACCTTGACACCCGGAAGTCGCACACCTCGCAGTCGTAAACCGCACAAGCCCCAACTCATACCCTCAACGACAAGTGAATGACAACCACGGACCCAAAGCCCGAAAGACCAAACCCGTCCAAACCGCACGTCAAAACGACCCCCCAACCTAAGACACCTCCTCATGCAACCCGCCCTTTTCCCTACAAAACTACAAAAATAACAAGCGTGAGCCATAAACACTAAACCCCCTCCCAGACCCGACAAGTGAAGTCCACCTGGATATACATGGATGGAAGCGCATAAACCTCGTCACAAAGCTCCCGGACCTTGCCAAAGAGATGTTGTATATGCTTGTGGTGAACCCCAGAAAGTTGGAACATGGATTTGGGATGATTAGTGCTAGGATTCCCTCTACTTGCGGCATGGGGATAATGATGTTCCAACTTTCTGGCTTCTACTGCACAGTACAATATATACTTACGTGTGTGTGTGTATATATGTATATATGTATCTGTATACATATTTATGTGTATATATATATACACATATGTATGATTTTTTCGGTATGTATTTATTCAATATAAGGGGAAAGGGGCTGTGCAAGTTCAAAGGTTGTTCGGGCTTTGGCTTTGTTTTAAGGCTGCATAACTTATATGGGCGGTTGTCAATATTAGAGTCCCTTTTTGGGTCCCTGGACCCTTATAATACGGCACCTAATATTGGAAGATGAGTACCCAAAAAGGGACCCAAATTTTGACAACCACCCGTATAATGGCGTTGATTGGGGATAGAGTCGGTTGCAGGTTTCCAGGGCCTGTTGCAAAACAGGGACCCCTGTTCGATACGCACTTGAAGAACAGTCTACACGAGTCCAAACCCTCACCGATAGATCCCAAAACAAAAAGCAGCCGTCGGACCAGTTTAGCACTCCCTGTCCGAAACTCTGAATCCTCCACCGGACCCCAATCCTTAATTATTCAACCAGACACCTTACCAAGACCCCTAGACAACCCATCAACAGAAACCCAAAAACCCGACATCCTGCCCTTACGTATAGTACCCTTAAAGGGACCCTTAAGGGGACCCTTGCAGTGCCCTTAAAGGAAAACACCAACACACTTCGGCCCCACAAAGCCCAAGGCTTAACATCCTCAGCCCTAAACCCGTAAATCCCTGAACCCCTTAAGCCCTTAGGCTTTAGGGTTTAGGCTAAACCCTAAAACTTTAAACCCTAAACCCCTAAACTCGCCAAACTCTAGACCCCTGCACCCCTAAACCCGAAACCCTGAACCTTTAAAACGTTAAACCCTAAACCCCGGAACCCGCCAAACTCTAAACCCCTGCACCCCTAAACCCCTAAACCCCAAACACCCGAACGCCTAAACCCCCTAAAGCCCCAAACCCCTAAAGCCGCAAACCCCAAAACCCAAACCCCTAAACACCTCAACCCCTAAAAGCCCCAAGATCCCTAAACCCCTTAAGCCCCCCTCCAAAACCAGAACAGAAAGACACAAACAACAAAAACAAAAAATGCACACAGAAGTAAGTTTGTAATTGTTTGGTTTTAGGAAACCCTAAACCCTAAACCTCTAAACCCCTAAGAAGTAAGGTATTCTAAGAGCAGGAGCGCCTTCACCTGGAGCAATGGCTCCCGCGTGGCAAAGAGCGGCTCGGCTCCAAGGGGGCCGGAATGCCTAGGACCCGGGGGTTCGGGGGTTTAGGGGTTTACGGTTTAGGGGTTTAGGGGTTTAGGGCTGGGGGTTTAGATTTAGGGGTTTAGGGTTTGGGGCTGAGGGGTTTAGGGTTTAGGGGTTCAGGGGCTTAGGGGTTTAAGCGCTTCGGGGTTTAGGGGTCTGGGGTTTGGGTTTCTGTTGTCAGGTTAAGGGCCTTGGGTTCGCTACGGGTTCTTATAATCGTTGTATGGAGGGGGTGGGGTTAAGGTTCCCTAAGGGTACTCTTCGTACTATTGCGATGGCTGGTGCTGTTAGCATTGTTCGTATCGTTGTACCTCTCATCACCCTACAGACCTGGCATCCTTAGGATTTCGAGCTTAGGTCTATGAGGCTTCCAGGTGTTGCATGGTGTTTAGCCCAAACGAACTGGAGTTTAGAGTACGTAGGGCGTATACATCACGCTAGGAACTCGGTTACCTATATACCCTGATCGTGAAGGTTTTGAGGATGCAATCCATATTTGTGCTTTTGGCGTGTAAGTTCTTACAGTTCGGAATACTTCTCGACCTTGTAGGATAAAACATGCTGCCCCATAAAAACCCTATGTAGCCCCTAGCCCCTAACCCTATAAACCCTAAAGCCACAGCATAGCAAGGCGATGCTCGCATTGCTGCAGGGCAAATCCTGCATGAACCCAAGTGCTCTAAACTATGGGAACAATATTAGACACCAGTTCGTCCATCAGCCACAAAATCAAAATCCCCGACAGGAATCCCAAACCCCAAAACCAAAATCGATTCACATACACCCTAAGGCCTGTCACATGAATCCTTAGCCTCAGCATGAGCTAGCATTCGAAACTACCACAGGTAAATTCTGAACTGTGGGGCCTGGAGCCTCAATGCCCAATCCCTAAACCTTGTGGCAGTCCGAAAAGCCCCATGCCAATACTCTAGGTACACCACTAGACATCAATCCCCAATTGACCCAAAGCGTCAAGTTAACCCCAAGCCCTCAACTCGACATGCATCCCACTTTCCATATGCAACCGTTTGCACGTCCAGTGCCTCGTCTATGCAACCGTGCGACGCCAGTCGCCAGACAAGTCCCAGGTCATCGTCGTCCTGCTGCGGATTTCCCTACTCCTCCTCCTCCTCCTCCTCCTGCTGCTGCTGCTGCTGCTGCTGCTGCGACTACTACTACTACTACTACTACTACTACTGCTACTGCTACTGCTACTGCTACTGCTACTGCTACTGCTACTGCTACTGCTACTGCTACTGCTACTGCTACTGCTACTGCTCCTCCTCCTCCTCCTGCTGCTGCTGCTGCTGCTGCGACTACTACTACTACTGCTACTACTACTACTACTACTGCTACTGCTACTGCTACTGCTACTGCTACTGCTACTGCTACTGCTACTGCTACTGCTACTCCTACTCCTACTCCTACTCCTACTCCTACTCCTACTCCTACTACTACTACTACTACTACTACTGCTACTGCTGCTGCTACTACTACTACTACTACTACTGCTACTACTACTACTACTACTACTACTACTACTACTACTACTACCGCTCCTGCTCCTATTGCATGTTCGCGACCATGAGCAGCTCGGCAGTCCTCTGCCTGAAGGTTCAGCGCCTGCACGCAAGAGACTCTGGAGCCTTCACGGCTAGAAAAAAGGGGGGTTTGGGGGTTTAAGGTTTCGGCCCCAGGGTTTCGGGTTTAGGGTTTCGGGCTTCGGGGCTAGATCCCATAAAGCTTTCCTCTTGTTGGTTTCGGATTTAGGGGGCAGGGGTCTCAGAAGCATGTTGTGACTACACAGGGGTGTTGTCGTGCTTGATACGGGTCTTATAGGCTTTAAGAAGGGACATATCATGTATTGACAACGTTCTTTTGAGGGCTCGCATAATGAATCGGTGCTGTAGTTTACTATAATGAGTCAAGGGCTGTAAGGATCGTGGCAGCTTTACCCCTTCCGTATTTGACTGGGGCAATGCTTCTGGGTTGAACATCTTATGAAGGTCCCAGGTTCAGGGGTTGAGGCTCAGGAACCCCAATTCGGGTACCTACACCCTTACTGACTAAATCCCTTGACCCTGCAGGCAACAGCTATAGGCCTTCGAGCTTGAATATTTAGGTCCTTTGGGACCTCATGAATCAGGGAAATCGGGCTTGTGCTACTGCTTCGACCACCACCACCAGCACCAAGCAGCAGCACCATACGGACGAGGCCTCCTCCAAACTCGTCAGCGAAGACTCCGCCGGCCGTGGAAGCTTGGCCAGTAGCTTGCCGCCTCGTGGGAGGGAAAGGGCTTAGGCGTTTAGGGGTGTAATTAGGAGTTGAGGGGAGAAGGGTTAAAGGTTCAGGGTCTACGGTGTAAAGGTTTAGGGTTTCCGAGTGAAAGGAAAGGTTCCTCTTCAAGCCGAAGCTAATGTGGAGATTTTTTAGAGGGGGCTGATACAAAAGTTCCACGAAGATGACAGGTGCAAGGTTGAAACGGAAACAAGCAAAACCATCCCTTTAACCCTGCATTAGTTCATGAGGTGCCAAAGACAATGTCCGCAAGAAATCAAGCTGTGGGTTGCGACGACAAGACACCAGAATACTGTTACCAATGATAAGAGCTGGGGAAAGCTCTGTTGCGAAACTCTAACTACCCTAACACCATAAACTGGACTTCCAAGGCAATGCGACTCCGAAACCCTAGTTGAGCAAAACACCGTCTACAAGGCGATGCGGAGAGCTGTTGTCAAGTTTCAAGATGCCTTCATTGCAGCATTCAGTTTTTTTTCAGTGTCCGTTGATCCTGGCGTCGCCTGTGTCTTTGTTTCTGACTCCAGAACACGCCTTGGACATTTACACAGCTTGGGTGTTCCAGGAGCAGGCAAGCTCTTCTGAAACAAGACTGGGACAGGGGCTGGCTTACCGTTCGCAGGTCGTGGCTATCGGAATGAACATCTGCAGTGATTCAGGCCGACACCCTACTGAACCATTAATCCCGAAACCTTAAGCCCCAATCCCTAAGTCCATTAAACGCCCGAAATCCCCCGAAAGAAGGAGCCTCTTGAAACTGGGTGCAGCCCGGGCGCCCAAGCTGTAGACCTCCACCAAGCTCTGCTCGCCCTGCCAAACTGCCGGGACGCTACCTAGAGGGTCATACCCTACCCCTTTCTTAGGATACCTAGTTTTATGGTTAGGATCTGTTATATAGAAAATTAGGTACCTTAAAGAAGGGGTAGGGTATGAGCCTCTAGGAATGGTAAGGAGGACCCTGCCCTGGGTTTAGGACTTAGGGCCCTGGGGTCCGCCAAGCGAATCTCCACCTACAAAACCGCCCCCCAAAACTAAAGCTGAATTGAGATCCCTTATAGGATCCCTGATAGGATCCCTTATAGATCCCTCGAAAAGCATCATCTGCAAAAGCCAAGAGCCGCAGAACGCCCAGAACACACTTGTCATCTAGGATACCCAGTAACCTAAGAATAAAAAGGCCTCTCTTTTTGGTATTGGGTAACTTTATAAGGAACCTAGGACTGCAAGAAGGGAATAAGGGTACACCAGAAGGGCAACTCTGCGGCCAGGAACGGAAACAGGACAGGTCTCGAGGTTCAGCCATCAAGCTGAACATCGGATCGCTTCATACCTAGAGGCTCATACCCTACCCCTTTATTACGTTACCTAGTTTTATGGTTAGGATCTGTTCTCTTAAAGAGTAGGCGCCCTAAAAAAGGGGTAGGGTACGAGCCTTTAGGTACTACATTATCGAACCCCGGCAACCAAGAGGAAGCTCAACAGCCTTGCAGAAGTTCTTTTTTGAACACCCGAAGAGAAAATGCCAAAGCACCGAAACTTCAGACACCAGAAACGGGCCTCTTCTGCCGAAGAGTTCGCCATCAACAGCAGGTTTTAGGGTTTATAGGGTTTTGGGTTCTTTTGCTTGTTGACTTTTCCTGTGCGTGGAGTCGGCTTGCTCAGGTTTGCTGTGTGCTCTTGAGCCTCAGGTGCACGCAATGCCCTTGGTTGCGGAATTGGCGACATCATACGGTTTACGGGATTTTGGACACACCAAACTTATACGGAGGTTGCAAGGAGACACCATTATCAACTACTCAGACCTGTTTGATGGTTCACAACGCCGCTCGTCGAGTCTGAGCCCTACGAGCACTTCAGGGTGATCGTTGTGGGATGCTGTGGATCGTGACCCTAAACCCTAAACCCTACAGTTTTGGGGACTTTGCGGTTTGAGGTTTACAGTAGTTTACCGGTTTTAGGGTTTCGGGCTTGGGGAGTTGCTGAAGGAGAAGTGGTCGAGGAGAAGATGAACCTCGAAGTCTCTTTGTGCTTTCTGGGCATAATCCATGGGTAGAAGGAGGGACCCTTAATAAGGACCCCTTGTAGCAAAGTAGGCACTAGGAAGCTAAGCGGCCCTTATAGGGTGAACACACGCCGGTGCTACTTCGAGTTTTTTGGTCAGACAACTTTTTGCCGCTTCTGCCCGTCGCCGGTCTGGGCGTACCTGGACGTGCACATTCCTACATGACTGCACGTAAACGCTTCGGCGGGGTTGGAGGATGTAAGGTTTAGTTAGTGTTCGTACCGGTGCACAACATGCGACAACTTTCTTATGCATAAGGGGTGCTCTGAATCAACTAACGAAACAGGGCCCTACAGTCATCTTAACCTCCCAAAGACATGCTGAGACCGGCAGACAGAGCCTGAATCCCCAGCAACACACCCTAAACCCTAGACCCTAAACCGAATAGGCCCTAAGCCCTAAACTACAAATCCAGGTCCATGTCCCTAAACCCTAAACCCTAAGCCAAAAAGTCCTCACCCCTAAACCCTAAACCCTGGAGCCTAAGCCATCAAGTCCTCACCCCCATCCCCGGCAGGAGCACTCCGACTTGTCTTTGGATAATCGGCTCTCTCCTGCATCGAGTGCATGGGATTCCGTCCTGTGGGGCATACCTTCTCCTATAAGGTGCGTATATACGATATCAATATACATATATATATATATATAGATACATACATGTACAGATATTCATACATATACTGTATACATCTACATGAGTGAGTGTATGTGGATATGTGGATAGAGGCATGTATATGTACATAATGTACACTTGTCACAGACGTACATACATACATAAATACATACATTCATTCCTTCCTTCATTCACCCACTCAGTCTTTGATTTAACTATTCATGACGGCATTCATGTTTTGCACACATACACACATGGTCGCATGAGGTACCTTTCTCTATGAGCTATCCTTCGCATAAGGCTCCTATTTGGGCTTCCACACTAACGGTTCAAGATCTGCCCCAGGTATCCTTTTCCCCTCAAAAAGTAGCCCTGACACCCGGAAACCCATGCCGGAGGGCTCTGTGCCCTTTTTGCACAAACCTCTTACTGCAATGCCCTGAGGTTGAATAGAAACGACTCAAAACACAGACAACTCCTGCAACAAAGGCCCTAAACAGAGGATTGAATTGAGGAGCCCAGTGGCAGGGTTTGCAGGGTTCAAGGGCTTTGGGGTTTAGGGGCCTCTAAGATTTGCCAACGAGGGGCCACTATCCTCTGGTTTTAAGAGCACAGCAACTTTCAACAGAACTACTAGAACTTCTGTGGTACTATGATGACGCTCCTGCTTCAGCGGCCAGGGGCAAATACTGGGGGACCTTTGGCCTGAAACTTTCAAGCGTCGAGAGACTTCATGGTGTAGTGCTTGAGGTCAGGACGTACGAAACACAAGCTCGTCTAGAGCTACCGTTCCAGAAACCCTAAACTCCGAAACCCAAAGCCCTCAAACCCAAAGCGAGCAATTGTTCCGTGAACCCTAAACCCGAAACCCTCTACACCCCCAAACCGTCAACCTTAAACTCTCTGAGTGAAACCAGCCAGACGAGCCTCCTTGGATGATGGACACAGCCGTCTGCAGCGAAGGCAGTGGCAAGAGGGGTGATTGCATTTAGAAATATACGGGGCCTTAATAATTAGACTAGGGCTTTGGGGCCCCACGTTACTCTAGCTGCACTAAGAGGCCCTTTTAGTATTCCGGTTTAGGGTTTAGGGTTGGGTCTTGGCGGAAATAGGATTTACCAAACGAGCTCGAGCCCCCCCATGCACTCATGAAGTCTCCGGTGAAGGTTTTTGATGGGAGGCCGAAACAGGGGTTTTAGATTCTTGGGGCAGGGATTCCTTAATATGAACCCCATTATTGGAACCCTAATCCCTCCTAAACCCCATAGGCTAAACCCCCTTTTGGCCTCCTATGAGCTTTTGCTTGGGAGTCGGCTCGTGAGACTGCGGGGCTCCGGCTCGCTCTTAGACTTGGGGTGGTTGCAGGAAGGCAACCTAAACCCTAAAAGCTAAACCCCTGAACTCCGAAGCCCTAAACTCTAACTGCAAGGCTCAAAATCTCCCAGCAGAACTGGTATGGCATTTGGGCCCATAAGCCGTCATATATCCCTAGACTTAAAAACAGAAGTCTTCTTCGCTCATTGCTGGCTTTCACGGCACGTGATTCGCCCACGAACTTTAGTCACATCATTCATTCACTAGGCACTGGAAGAATGTCCAATCTTCGACGCTTGACAATTAAGGAAGGGCCAGGCCAGTGGCCAACAAGTGGTGTGCTGATTGGCCAACTTCAGTGTCCCTATGCGGATCGACCTGCTAACAAATGGGCCGTGTCAGTGCCGACAGATGGGCCGGCTCAGCCGTCATCGTCCTGGGCATTGTCCTTCTTCTGCTGCTCAATCAATGGCTTGTCTAATTCGCCCAGGAACTCCCTCAGCCCCTTCACGGAGATAGACTGCAAAGCGGCGGGCCCTTGAAGCCCGAGTCCAACATTCTCCAGACCCACGGAAAGCCGGGTGCCGGGTAAAACTTCAATCTCCAGCACTCCCCAGCGGGACTGCTCATGAACGGGGGCGGGGGGGTCTTGTCCCCAGTTGTACCGGTGCCTCTATTCACTTAGCTGAAGAACATGCATTTTGGGCGACCCGCAGGTATGGCCTAAAGCCCCACACCGCATAGTCAAGAATCACATTGCTTTCTGGCGTGTAGGGCAAAAGCGCGAATTCTGCGAAAAAGGATCATGGAACTCGGAAACCAAGGTTATAGATACAGTAATTATGGGTCATACTTACGTAAGCCCAATTACGGTGCCTTGAGTTTTTGCTTACAAAGCCCCCTGATCCTCCCCACAAACCGATATCGAACCCTTGTAGAAACTTTTGACATCAAAGAAGTCGATCAGGGCGGTCCCTTTGTAGGGTTCGTTAGGATTTAGGGATTAAGGCTCAGGGTGTGCCGCTTTCAGGCGTTCGTCTTGATTTCGGTTCCAGGGCTAACCTTTAAGCAAAAGCTCTCTATGTGTCACACTACTCCTGAAATCCTCTGTGAGAGATGCTGCCTGCAGATAGCTGCAGACACTGCCGACCTGGCGAAATGCGGACTTCTCTAGATTGGGGCCCCTCTTTTCGGCGCCCTAAAGGAGTGCGGCCGAGTTTCTCAACCACATCAATGGAGTTATCTCGTGCAGGCACACAACGGTTCCGGTACCAAGTTCGCGAGATTGGAATGCACGAGGCTTGCTCGATGTGGTGCATCTTTTCGTGCATGTGTTGAGGATGTGGTCATGGTCATTGCCGTTGTGACCTCTAGCAGCTAGGAGTATCCTGACTTTCGGTGTGCTGTTGCAGGACGGGTCAGCCTATCGGCCGTCATGTGCCTCTTCCCTTCAAGAAGCCCTTAAGGGAACTCGAAAGCAGGCCTTGAAGGAACCCTTAGAGGAGCTCTCAAAAGACAAGAATCCTTAAAGGATCCCTTGAAGGAACCCTGAAAAAAGGAAGCTCTTATAGGAGTCGGTACAGGATCCCTTCAATCCCTTCAAGCTCTCTGGCCTCGGATTGCCCGGCAGAGGTGGCGAGGCGCACCTCCAGGCCGTCCAAGACCTCCGCAGCTTGCCACCTTGCAGCTTTCGCTTAGGGTTCAGGGTTTAGAAACTTACGTTTTGGGGTTTAATATAGGGGCCTTAATAATTAGAATAGGGTTTTGGCGCCCATTATACTATACTTATAATAAAGAACCCCCACAATACGATAGGTAAATATTTAGGTCCCTATAGGATGGCTGTTGGGGTTGGCGTTCAGGGGGTAGAGGTTACTGTATAAGTTCCAGGGGTGAAAGTTCATATGTAGGGTTTGGGGCAAGGCTGCTATAGGGGTTCCATTAAGGCAAGAAGGCCTTCAATCCTTGAACCCTTAAGCCCCAAAAACGCTAAACCCCCAATTCAACCCTTGACGCCTAAACCCCACAATCCGTAAACATCCCTGAACCCTAAACCGCTTGTAAAATACTAACCCGATTGTAAGTGGTAAGGCCCGTGTATTATAGTACCCTTACGTATAGATCCCTTATAGTAACCCTTATAGACCCATATAAAGGAACCCTAAACCCTAAACCCTAAAACCCCCAACCTAATACCCCTAAAGCCCCAAGCCCCTAATCCGTGTGTAGAATACTAGGACCCAAACCTTCCAAAATCCCTTAATTAAGCAATATATACCTTAGATCATATTAGGGACCCTATTATAATTTAAGGTATATATTCCTTAATTAAGGGATTTTGGAAGGTTGGGGGAGAACCCTGAAACGCTCCCAGCTGGGAGCCGGTCTGCGGCAAACAGCGGAGCGTCAGATACGTAGGCACGTCGATTCCTGAGGCAATTGGGTAGGACGGCCAGGGCAGGTTAAGGTTTAGGGTTGATTTCTTAGGTTTGGTTAGGAAGTTAGGTTACGTCGTGTTTGGTTTGTTCTTCGTCCCATATCGGGTGAAGACCTTTTGTTTCAGGTCATGTTGGGGTTATCGCATGCCGGCTGGCATGTCGGGTCCAGACTCCTGCTGTTGGGGCCATGTTTGGGCCCTCGCCCATTTAGGATTGAGGGCAAGAGGTTGTTTTCCGTTGTTTTTTTCTGACGGGTGTTTGCGGTGTAAGAGTAACAGCCACATGAAGCACTTCATGGTGATGTACTACGGACTCGTGTAAAGATTCTGGCTGGCTTTGGGAGCATTTAAATGCAGAAACAACCTCCCGGGTACAGACTCTGGGCCATCTTGAGCGTTGCGGTAAGTATATAGGAGCAGAAGCAAACCGATTGGATGAACACCTTCTGCAAATGTAGGCTCGGATCACTGCGATTCCGAAGCGCTTCTATACGAAGCACTCATCGAACAGAGTATGTACAGCGAGTCTGCTATTATCAAAACCTCAAGTGATACAACATACATCTCCAAAGTTCCGGTGGTGAAAGGGGAATCCAAAAAGCCCGGGTGCATAAACAGATGAGGGTGTCGGGGTCCTGCTTACCACGTCCCCCAAGCTTCTGTAGCAGGGTGTCTCGGTACAGAATACCTTGACCTGCCCACATGAATCATACTTTCGGGTATTCTAGCGCTGAGGTTTCCGTGTCTAGGTCTAGGTCTACGACTTATCGGTTTGTAAACAGTCAAAGCCGCGCTGGCCGGCTGGAATGTGAGCATTCAGCTCCAGGCAACGCCTGGCGACTCGAATCATGTTGGCACCAAAGCCACTCGATAGTATTTTGGTCTGAATAGGAAACTGAATGAACGAATGCTTGTATATATGTATGTACGTACTTATGTATGTATGCAGGTGTGTAGGTTTGTATGTATGTATGTATGTATGTATGTTATGTATATATGTATGTATGTATGTATGTATGTATGTATGTAGCAACAAACGCCGAGGTGGCGCTCTGGACATGCATTCCGCAGGCTACTGTGCCAGGTTTTTTTTGCGGTTTATGTTCCGTAGTTTACACATTTAAATTACATAAAGACATTGCTGCTCCGCCCCAGATCCCTATTAAAACAATTGCACACACTCCCCAGTTCCTGGCATTTCAAGGTTATGTCCCTTATGATATGTAGTAGAGTAAGTCCCAAGATACCCTATTCTGGGCTTTCGAACTGTTCAGCATTTTACTACTGAATATATCACAATAATCGTATCAAGGTGACGTAACAAAGTTCTTGGAAACCTTGGAAGAGCTTCATGTGTCAATCAAACAAGCAACAGCAACGAAACAATGACATGCACTCGTGCACATACTTTTGCCGCCTCTCCAGGGGCGTCAGATTCTGCGGGAGCAGGCTCGACTTCCTGGGATATAGAGAAAAAGCGCGGTTTAGGGTTTGGGGCTGGTGCACCAAAGCCTGCGTTGTGCTTAATGAACATGAAACACCTGCCCAAAGTTTGGCTTGCAGGTTGCCAGTCGTGGAGCTCTGTTTCGGGCCCCGGACGTCAAAGCAATGTAGGGTAACAGTAGCAGGACCCGTACTACGAAAAGACCCACCGAAGGACGAACAAGAAATGACTGAGGCCGCAGGGACCTAGGCCAAAAAACAATCTAAACTGGTGAGAAAGTCCTAACCCCAAAAGACAAACCTTTATTCAGTGAAAATATGTAAAACCGTGTAAACTTTCGTTTATAGGAAGGTAAGCTTAAATTTGCCGCTCCAGACTCCAGATCCTCTCGTCCACAAACCGACGTCCAGCTTAAGTCTGCAAGGTGCATACCCCCAGGCCCCGAAGTAGTTCCATTTTGGGATTGCCTTGTAGGGTTCTATGTATGAACCCCAAAAGGAACTACTTTGGGGCCTATGGGTACCCCAAGATTTCAAAGAGGCAGCCCACGGACTCTGAAAAAGATGTCTTGGAATCTGCAACCGGCACAGGCATCCTCGAAGCAAAGCTCCGAAATTGAGTTGGCCCGAGCAGCGCCACAACCATCCACGCCCCACTCGTTACAAACCCTAAACCCTCAGCACTAAGCCCCATTAGAATCATACAAACAACGCACACCATGACACGCCGACGCCGGAGATACAAGTCGAAGGGGAGAAGAGGAGAGGTCCTTTTCCATACATCAGCACATACGTCCAAAAGTACATGCATGCAAACTGCACATCCTTGCATGCATACAGGCATAAACACAAAGCCGTACATGTGTACATACATGCTTAGTTACCTGGACCTACATACTTCTTACTTGCTTACCTATACTCACTCAGTTACGTACTTACTTACTCACGTGAACGGCTTCATTTGCACTACCTCCTGTGGGCCCTACACGCAAAGCCCTAAATCCTAAACCTAGAAGGCTCCATTAGGAGCTCCCTCGTGCTCTGCCCGGCCACGTGCCCGGTGGCCCGGAGTGGCCGCGGTCGTGCCGCGGCCCACGGTCGCCACCTTCAGGGCCATGGGAATAGGGGTATGCAGGCATGTATATATTTTTTTATCGACACGCATTTACGTATGTACATGTATATCTATATATATATATAGATATATATATATATACATATATATATATACACATACATATGATAGATATAGAGGACGAATGAGTATACTAAGATTATAGGTATACAAGCATGTAATATGTCAACTGATGCATAGACAGGAAATGTCCTGTATGTCTGTGTGTAGATATATATATATACATAGAGGGAGAGAGACAGAGGGAGAGAGAGAGAGAGAGAGAGTGTCATGTGTGTGTGTGTGATGGTATCGCCTGTAAATTTAGAATTTAAGCTTCCGCATCTAACGCTCACGTAGCATCGTAGAGACAGTATATAGGAATGTCCTTAAGGCTGTGGCTGGGTTCTTGTATCAAGGAGCCTAAAGGGTTTTGAGTCTACTTGGGAACGAGGCCTGCGTAGGTCCCCCTACACTTTCTCCCCAAAAAGTCCTATGCAGTGTTATGGCGGATACTTCCCTGATGACAATGGCAACTCCTAGTATAGAAACCCTTGTCTCTACCATGTAGGTACATAAGACCCTTTGGGATACCGTTTATACTGGAGAGGCCCGGTCAAGCCACACCTGGTTGCGTCTTCCAGACTCCAAACCCTGAACAACCTTGAACCAGGACTTTGGCCCTAAACTGCCTCAGAGTATCCAACTGTTTAGGAAACCCAAAGCATGTACCAAATGAGCACATAAAGGGAACTCCAGAAAGTTGGAATATGGATTAATGGTAGGATCCCCTATGATTTACCTTGAAGGGGTTACCATAATGATATTCCAACTTTCTGGCTCCTACTGTAGACCCCCAGGGCGAAGTAGGAGCCAGAGAGTTGCAACATTGTTCTCCTCATGCCCTTAAGGTAAAGTCTAAGGATCCTAGCACTAACATTCCTGAACCCATGCTCCGACTTTCTCGGGTTCACCAGAAATCCCTGAAGCCCCTGAACAATCGAAATCCCTCTGAACTCGGAGAGAGCGCGTGGGCCTCGGCGCTGTGACCTTGGGACGAAGCCACGGTTGATTGTCGAGACGATGTAGCCAGACGGGTTCCTTCAGGAGTTTAAGGTACTATAAGGATACTACAAGGGTACTATAAGGGTACTATATGGGTACCATGTGGTTACTATAGGGGTGCTATAAGGGTTAGGCTTGAGGGTCTTAAGGTTTAGGGGTTCAGGGTTTCGGGGTTTAGGATTTCAGGGTTTTCGAACTTGCTATTGTCCGTCTGGGATAACATGACCTGGCAGCGTAGCACCGGAACGGTGTGTAATTTTTGCCCACCCTGAACCCTAGCCGTAAACCCTAACCCTTACAGTACCCTTATAGTACCCGTATGAAAATACCCTTATCGTACCCGTAAGGAGCCACGAACTCTCGGGTTCCTTCTCGGGCTATCCCCTCGCCGTCCAGGTGTTTTCCAAGGGTTTCTAGGGTTGTATCGGGTTTGTATCAGGGTTCAGGAGTAAATAGTATGAATTTTGACCTTCAAGGGATCCGACATAAGTACTGCAAGGCCCGGGTATGTATAGACGAATATACTTGCTATGTAAGTGGACACCCAAGGTTCAAGGAGCATAAGCTCCAAGTCGGGAGCTGCTACCGACTGTAGACCTTACAGATCTACTGAAGTATCGTCGAGGGGTCTCAAACCAACTTCGGTTCCTCCCTCCATAATAAGCTCTGAACGGACTACCCCAAAATCGAAACCCTAAACTCTATTATGCCCCAGTAAAAACGGTCTCAGACAGCTATACCCTAGTGTAAACCCTAATCCCCATACCCTAGATTGACAAGAAGGCCCTCCCCCCCTCCCAGCCTGAGATTCTGATGATGCTCGATGACATACCTCGGGATGATGGGCCGGAAACCTCCTAAACCCTACCTCAGCCTCCCACAACCCAGCTTTTGTAAATTCCCTCTAAATTCCGTATCAGGGTGGTGCCTCAAGAGTCCATATTAGGGCTTATACTAAGACCCTACAAAGAAGTCGGCGATGGTAGCTTAAGGTAGAAAAGCCCTAAAGGGTTGCCAAGGACGCAGGCTCGAGCTCCTAGGTCCCTCCGAAGTAAACGAACCTCCAAGCCCTAAGCTAACTTCGAAACGAATCAGAACCCCTTAACCCTAACCCCCGAAACCCGAAACCCTAAACCCCGAAACCCTAAACCCCAACCCCCAACCCCTAAACCCTAAACCCCCCGGCCACTGCAAGCACTGTCCTGAATATAATCACTTCCCGAACTCACATCTCGAGCAAAACAGGTCAATCAGCGACTGCCTTCGAACATCACGGGCCCAACCCAGTGGTCGTTGAATTGCCCAACACCGTTTGCCGAGACCCGAACAACCCGTAAGCCTGAAACTCAATAGGGGCTGTTCCGAACCGGGCTCCCTTCTGGCGTCCACTTAGGGTAGGTACTCCTTACCCTAAGGCCCCAAAGTAGTTCCTTTTGTGGTCCATATTTAGTCAATCCTATAAGGTAATCCCACTTAGGGCATGATGGTTCAGAACACCAGTCGAGCGCGCAACCCAGAACAACGACCATTCAACCCGGAACCTGAAACCCTCAACTCCCAACCCTATGGGCTTAGGGTTTAAGGTAAACCCCAAATAACCTACCTTTTGAAGGACTTATCTAAAGAATTCTTATGAGGGAATCCAAAAAAAAGTAGGTCCCTTAGGGTCCAGGTAGGGTAAAGCCCAAGACTCCAAACACTTCCAGCCCAAAACCCCTCAACCCCGAACGCACACGAATACACCAAGAAACCTCAAACTCAATTCCAAAGCTCCTACAATCCTAGACCCAAAACCCAAAACACTATAGAACCCTAAAGTCCTTAACCGACCTAAACCCCAAGCCGTCACCCTAAACCCTAAATGTCCTGAACCGACCTCAACCCTAAGCCGTCACCCTAAACCCTAAATCCTCGAATGGGAGTTACCAAAAAATAGTAGGATCCTTATTCTAAGGACCCCAAAATACGGTACCACCCCCAAATGAGAGCAAAAGACTCTAGCATCTCCCCGGCATGCTCCGTCGAAAGCTGCGACAAGGCCTGCGTGCAACTTGCAGGCTTGTCAGAGCTCTGGGGTGTTTGGGGGGTTTTGGAGCTTTTAGGGGTTTAGGGCGTTTAGGGGTTTAGGGTTTAGGGTTTAGGGTTTAGGGGTTTAGGGGATTAGGGCTTTCGGGGTTTTAGGGTTTGGGGCTGTTAGGAGTTTAGGGGTTTTGGGGTTTAGGGGTTTCGGGTTTAGGGCTTTAGGGGTTTAGGGGTTTAGGGTTTAGGGGTTTAGGGGTTTAGGGTTTAGGGGTTTAGGGGTTTCGGGGTTTAGGGTTTAGGGGTTTAGGGGTTTGGGGGTTTTGGGGTTTAGGGTTTGGCTGTTTGGGTAAAATCATGAGCTACTTTCGTATTCTACATGCTGTTGAAGTCTAGGGTTTAGGGCTTTTAGGGTGTAGAGTTCAGGGTCTAGGGCAAGTCTATGTTCAGGATTTAGGATTTGGGGGTTTGCGCTTCAGGGTTTAAAGGTTTACGCCGAAGAAAACCTCAATTTAAAGGCTTTAGGGCCCATACCCTCTCCACAAGGGTTCTGAAAGCATCTGCAATGGTTCTGTATTAGGTTGAAGAGTTGAAGGTTCAGCAAGCCCTATTCGAAGCCAAACCCTCGGAGGTCCAAATCCCTGAACCTTTCTTGGAACTTAATTCACTCTAAATCAATCAGCAGTCATGAGGGCGATGCAGTCAGCACGCATCTCACCAGCGACACAGATTCTCCGCCGCGTTACTCTGCGTGAAAACGCCCAAACCGTACCCTAAGTTACTAAGGTTCCGTGTAACGATCCCTAAAACACTAAACCCTAATCCCCAAATCCTTCAAACCCCCAAGCTTACTTCCACCCTGTCCCCTAAATCATTCAATACTGTTGATGGACCAAATCCTGCATGACCCATTATAGGGAATATAGCATAGTTCCCATAGTTTAGAGTCCTTAGTGTCATGCAGGATTTTGTCCATCAGCAGTGGTTTCTGATGGTCATCAGGCCTGCTTCGCCGAATCTTCGAGATAAATGCCCATCGCCTGGATTCTTTGCCTCAGTGGCTTCGGGTTTTCGTAAGCTTCGTGAAGGCTGTATTTAAAAAAAAAACTCAGAACCCTAGCAAAAATTAAATTTTAGCTGTTTCTTAGGGGCTATAATAACCAAAAATTGAAAAAACATTTCTAAGTACACCGAAGAAAAAGTGGGTTAAGATTCCCCCAATCTTCTGGTTCTTGTGTATAAAGGATGGTTGAAGGTGGGTTCAGGTTTCTGTATGTGGCATGCCCGGGATCCAGTGATTAGGGTTTTCAAGGGCGGGGGGGGGGGAGTGGGGAATCGTGGGGATTAACTCTTCTCTTCATTGGTGAAGAGTCTTGTGGCCAGGGTTAGCGTGTTTAGTCTTGGGGATCTAAGGGTTGAGGGGCCTCTAGGTTAGGCAAAGGTAACAATGGGCGGGGGGTGTAGTGTAGGGGTTTCAGGGTGCAGCTCTCCTTCTTTGCGAGTGGGGCTTAATTAAGGCTTTCAGGGCCTATGGAATCTTCAATCTGCTACGAAGACGGCGTCTGTCTATAGCTCGAGATCAGACTCCATTTCAGTACACCGTGTGTATGTTTTAAGCCAATCTACGGGTATTAAGTCTCATTTTTCGTTTAGCAAGCCACTTGTCTCTCTGCAACAAACTCCCGAAGCCCGGAACCGAACACTGTCAAAATCCAAAGCCGCATTGTCAAAAAACTTCCCAGACGCCATATACAACACGAGGACCATCATATACCACTGAAGCCCGACAAATTTTCTTGCTTTCTACAATCATCCAAAAAGTCACTGAACTGTAAATCCATCTGTCTCCTATCCTTGACCCTGGCCTGGACCCTAAATCCTAAACCCTCTACCGCCTAGGGCATAAACCCTAATCCCAAAGGTCTTTCCCGGAGCCCCCGGCCAGGCGCGCGCGAGGATGTCGCCCGCATCTAGGGGGGCCTCGGATACCCAGATTAAGTAATTAAGGTAGGGGCCTTTTTAGGGTTTAGGGTAGTTGACTAATGTAGGGGCCTTAATAATTAGAATAGGGTTCCTTTAAAAGGGGTCTCTAAAGGACTACTATAAGGGCTATTCTACGGATTTCATGTAAGGCCTTAATGATTAGAATAGGGTTCTCTTCAAGGTTTCCTTTTCAGGGGGTACTATAAGGGATCTATAAGGGGTAGTATAATGTAGGGCCTCAATAGTTAGAATAGGTTCGTGAGTACATTGTAAGGAGCACAAGGAAGACTGTTTGTAACGCTTTAGGCTTCTATTTTAGGGTTCCTTCAAAGACTTTGGTTTTAGGGTTTAGAGTGAGTATATAGTTAAGGGAAGGGTTCCGTTAAAAGGGTTCCTTCAGGGGTTCATTTCAGTGTGCGTGCAAAGGCCTCGAAGAAGGCTTTTGAGGGCTTCATGAGGATCTTTACTTAACTTAACCCTAAACCCTAAACCCTAAACCCTAAACCCTAAACCCTAAACCATAATGGATCTTGATGGCCCTTGCGCTTAGGAGTCGAGGTCTCTGAGAAATCTCTGTGTACAGGCATGCATGTACCTTAAAAGTGGAAACACCTGTTTGCTTGGGAACATAACGTAAACCTCTTCATTCATGAAAACTACCCGAAACTGCTTTTTTAGGGACATTTCACCGGGAAGAATGGAGGGTTGAACCCTCAACCCTGAACCGCTAGATTTTTGGACACGGGGGTCGCGGGCTAGCTCTCTGGGTACGGTGCCTCGGGGTCTCTGGAGCTTGGGGGGTTTAGGAGTGAGAGGCCTTTGCCGCTTTAGGGCTTTAGGGGCTTAAAGCATTTTCGTGAGTTTGTAAGGGTTCGCGAGGCTGTAGGAATGAGGCTTTGTAAGGGATCTCTAATGACTTGGGCTACCGGTGGTCGCTCCCTTTCCCACGGTAAACGATTTGGTAAGATTATCTGAGTAAGACGGGCGTACAGGTTCGTGGGCTAACCCCAAACGCTCCAAGCCAGTACGAACCCATAGTACACTATAAGCCCTATGTAAACCTTCGAAGCCCCAAACCCTAAGCCTGTGTGAACCTTGGACCCCTTGAAGTCGTAGCATCTCCCAAGCCTGGAGGACCTCACTCTATGAACCCAGGCGCCCAAACCTCAAGCCGTCATACCCTGCACCTGAAGTGCCCTTTATTGGAGCCTTTGAGGTCGCTATATTATAACAGTGGATATTCAGGGCATGATTGAGGGTAGTTGGGGGGGGGTATGGGAAAGTCTTAAACCCTAAACCCGCGGACCGTACACACCGAAGCTCCAAGTGCCTAACAATCATACACTCCCCCAGAAGCTAACCTATGTTGCTACTATCCGGATCAAATCCCAGGTTCCTAACGATCACTGTGTCCTTGGACCATCAAGGGAGCCGTCAGAGATCTGTACGCATAAGATTGAAAAAGCCCCGGCTTCCGAACTGCACTATGAAAGGGTGAAAAGGTTACCCATAGGCCCCAAAGTAGTTCCTTTTTGGGATTCATTATATAAGGTAGTCCCAAAAGGAACTACTTCGGAGCCTATGGTTAAGCCACTTAGATCCTCTCCAGGGCCTTAACTCGAAAACCCGACGCCGCTTACGCCCATAGAACTCAAACTCCTACGGCATAAAACTCTCAAGCTTTCCTGGGCCCTTCGGAGCTTCTGGGCCTCTGGACTTCGTGGGGATGTGCAGGGATGTTGCAAGGGCTTCAGGAAAAGATTCCAAGTAAGATCCACCAGAAGAGTCTAAAAGCAGCCTGGTGGCAGCAAAATTCTGCTGCCCACGAAGGCGACGTGGCTGAAACCCCCTGGCACAGAGGCAGGTACATAAACCTTAGACCCGAAATTCAGGCCCGAAGCCCTGAACCCTAAAGTCTATAACCTGACCCCACAACTTAATGTCGGCTTAGCAGCTAGAGGGATGTTCTCATAGATCCTGCTTCCCGGATTTTTAAGCCCTGAAGTCGGGTAGGAAGCCTAAGCACTAGCCTAGAAAAGGCCTAAATGAAGTTCGTCCTTACCCGATGTAGATCCGGAAGCCAACATAAACATCCCTGTCCCCAAACCTGAGCCCCTACACCCTGAACCCCAAACCCTAGACTTGCTTGACTGCATCTGGAAACATATTCTTGAATTCCAAATCAGCCGTACCCTCAAGAGCCGCAACACCCTCTGGAGCTCATACGTCACTCTTATAATAAGAGTGACGTAGGGTTCAACATTTTTGAACCCTATAACCATGAAAGCAAATCCTAAACCCCAAGCCCCCATAAACCCCTAACCCTAGACCCCCGTAAACCAGATTCCGCTCCGGTAGTCCTCGAAACCCCTAAACTCAAGGACGACCATGGAAAAGGTACGGTTGATGATATAAATCCTGCATTACCCATAATAAGGAATATGCCCTAATTCCCGTAGTTTAGGGTCCTTAAGGTAATGCAGGATTTATATCATCAACAGTAGTACCCCTTTCAGACGGTTCCACCGCAAACCCTCATGCCCAAAACCCTACCTTCACCCTTAATATCCTACCTTTTCAATACTTACAAACGGAACTCATAGTAAGGAACCCTAAAGCAAGGTAGGTTTTGGGGATACCCAGAGGCCCCAAAGTAATTCCTTTTTGGGACTACCCTATAGGATTCCATAAAATTCTATATATGAACCCCAAAAAGGAACTACTTTGGGGCCTACCTAGAGGCTCATACCCTACCCCTTTTTTAGGATACCTAGTTTTATGGTTAGGACCTGTTCTCTTAAAAAGTAGGCGCCCTAAAAAGGGGTTGTAGGGTATCAGCCTCTAGGTATGGGTAGACCCCAAAACCTGACTCAATAAGGAACCCTAAAAAGAATATTAATTAAAAAAAATAATAATGATAAGAATAATAATATAGTACCCTATATAGTAGGATCCTTATTATAAGGACCCCAAAACCTGACTCCGCCCCTGGGAGACGGTGGCCTCGCAATCGTGCTGACCACATACTTGGACGGATCCCGCAGCTCCTCTGAGCTCTATTGAGTTTTAGGGTTTAGGGCTTTAGGGCTCTATAGGGTTTAGGGTTTACAGTGATTTTTTCGAGGTTCTATCAAGGTTCCTGAATCAAGGATTGAGGTTTAGGTTGGCAGTTTACCCGCCTGGTAAAGCCCGAATACCTCGAATCCCGCAGCCAAAAAACCGGAAACCCCAAAACCCTAAAGCACCAAAACCGTAAACACTAAACAGCCTGAACTTCCCAAGCCCTGCGAAAAGGGAACCCTCAAGCCCCAAATCCCTAACCCCAAACTGAAAAAAACCCGAAAGTAAAGCCGCAGAAGCCTAATATAAGGGCCTTGATAGTTCGAATGGGGTTTTCGGGTCAATTATACTGTGACTATAATCTGGAACCCCAAAAATAGTAGCGGTCATTCTTGAGGCCCCCTATAAACCCCAAGAAAACCTAAACCCTAAAGCCCTACAAGAAAAGCCCTGGAAGTTGGAAACCGGGTTGAGGCCGAATAGTGCTGGGATTCCCTATACCAGACCCTTCAGGATTGAGGCTATTGGGTTTCCAACTTATGGGCTTCTACTGTAAAAGACAAGCACTCGAAGCTTTTGGAGGAGGCTCCCCGGACTTCTCGAGGACGAACTCTAAGAGCTCGGCGGCGTGCTCTGGTGGAAGGCCTCCGACTTCCGCATCCCAGAAAGGTTGGTTCCATAAGGGCTTATATAAGGATTTAGGGTGTAGGATTTAGGGCTCAGGGTTTATGTAGAGGTTAAGGGTTTAGGGTTAAGGGTTTATATAAGGATTGCTAGAAGGGGTTCTAGAGGGGTTGAATTAGAGTTTGCACGTTTTAAATGAGGGTTCTATCAGGCTTCGGTTGATGTCGGTAGTCAGGGCTTTTTTCAGGGTTCTGTTTGGGGTGTCTAGCAAGCCCCTTAGGGCTAATATCAGGGTTAACTCCTAAACCGAGTTAGCCCTTGCACCCAAGCTCACAATGAAGGGGCCTGAAAAAACAGAATTGCGTTTTGGGGCATAGGAATAGTCTCCTATAGTTATGTGTGGACCATAAGAGCATACTGTCACATTCCAACCTCTTTTGAACCCTAAACGTCTTGGAACCCCGACATTCTAAACCTGAACACCATAACCGCTAAATCCTTTTGAAGCCGCAAACCCAAATCAGACCTTAGAGTATACGATACAGTATGTTCTAGTATACTCTGGCTTCACGGCCCATTGTTAAAACTCCTAAACCCTGTTAAGCCCCGGTTAAAACCACTCGAAGACCCCCTTAAACCCTAAACCCTAAAACCCCAAACCCTAAAACCCCAAAACCCCAATCCCCAAATCCTCAGCCCTAAAAACCCTCAACCCTAAAAACCCCTAAACCCTACAACAAACATAAAACACCCTAAAACACCCTAAACCCTAAACAACCCTGAACCCTAAACACCCTAAAACCCCTTTTGACGCCCCCCTCATCCCACCTTTTGAGGCCCATATACCCCTAATATAGCTATTATACCCATTATATAGCCCATTATAGGGTAGGGGTCCCCGTTAAGGCTTCATCCCACCTTTTGAAGCCTCCGATTTGGGGCCCGGCCTGCTAGCGCCTCCAGGGCTTCGTTCGTTAACTGCAGGCCCACCTGCTGCACCTTGAGCCTGGCAGAAACCCAAGGGGTTTAGGGGGTTTTAGGGGGTTTTAGGGGGTTTTAGGGCTTTAGGGTTTTAGGGCTTTAGGGCTTTAAGGTTTAGGGGGTTTTAGTGGGTTTTAGGGCTTTAGGGTTTTAGGGTTTTAGGGTTTAGGGCTTTAGGGTTTTAGGGTTTAGGGGGTTTTAGGAGGTTTTAGGGGGTTTTAGGGTTTAGGGGGTTTTAGGGTTCTTAAGGTTGGGGATTTATGTTGCACCTTGAGCCTGGCAGAGGCTTCTCCTTTAAAGGGTTCAAGGTTTTAAGGGGTTTAGGGGGTTTTCGTGTTTTTTTTGGGGGTTGAGGATTTATGATGATTTATGGTTGAGCCTGGCAGAGGTGGTCCTCTACAGGGGGGCTTAGGGGTTTTGGGTTTGGGGTTTTTAGGGTTTGGGTTTGGGGTGGGTCCGATAAGCGATCTCGACCTTGAGCCTGGAAGAGGCTTATCCTTTAAAGGTTGAGGATTGATGATGATTTATGGTCGAAGGCTTCCGTTCAGGGATCCTTTAAAGGGTTCGGGTGGAATTGGAGCCTGGCAGAGATAGTCCTCTAAAGGGGTGCTTTAAGGGCTTGCTGTAACGGGGATCTTGAGCCTGGTCGGGTTTAGGGGGTTAGGGATAAAGGGAATTAGGGGTTTAGGGGTTTCCTGTGAGGGATCCTGGCAGAGCTACGTCCTTCAATATTGGGGGTTGCTAGGGTTCAGGGATCCTCCTTTAAGGTTGCCTTGAAGGGTACATCCTTCAATCTTGGACTCCTGGTTTTTTTTTTAAGGGGTTTAGGGTTCAGGGTTTATCGGGTTTGGGGGTTCAGGGGTCCATCCTTCCATTTAGGGCTCCGGGGGTTCCTCCTTTAAGGGTGCCTTTTAGGACTCCTAGGGTTTAGGTGTTTCGGTTTAGGGGTTTAGGGTTTAGGGTTGTGGGTTTCGGGTTCCTTTCAGGGTTCCCTTCGAGGGTGTATTTTAAGGTTCCTTAAGGGTTCCGTCACGGATTCATTTAAAGGGTTCGGTGCCGCTTGAGCCTGGCAGGGGCGTATCGATTCGTAGAGTCTGGGGTGTAGGGGTTTGGGGTCCTGGTGGTTTGGGTTCCTGTAAGGGGTTCAGACCTTGAGCGTGGCAGACGCTTATCCTTTTTTGGGGTGAGGATTTATGGTTGAAGGATTCCTTTCAGGGATCCTTTAAAGGGTGGCACTGGAGGCTGGCAGAAGTATGTCCTTCAAAGGGGTGCTTTAAGGATTACTTCAACAAGGATCTACACCTTGAGCCTGGCAGAGGGGTATCTTTTAGAGGGTGCCTGTCGGGGTGACATTGCGGGCTCCTACAAGGGATCTATACCTTGAGCCTGGTCCTAAGCCCGATAACCCCCCCTCCCCCCCAAAAAAACAAAAGAACTAAGTTGGGAACATTGGGTTTCAATTTTGCTGGCCGAGAGGTTGGTCACTGGGAGCCCGGCAGGAGGCGCTCCATGGTAACTGGGTCGATGGCACCTGAGCAGAAAAAATGAGGGCTTTGGGGGCTTGCGTAGGGTAGCGGGGTTTCATATTTAATTATAGGGGTTTCGGAAGTTTAGGATTAAGGGGTTGAGGGTTACGGTTTACAGCTTCAGGGCTCAGGGAAGGAGGGGCTTACGCATTTGAGAATCAAGACTTCTCGGTGGGAGTCTGGAGTCGAGATTTATGCCGGTTTGACTGGTTGTCGGGTATATAACATTTACGAATCGATATACATGAATCCATACAAGTACACACCTCTGAATCCCATGTTGCGATGTAGGTGAAAGCATTAAACAAAACAAACGCAAACTCAAGCATGTGCATCTGTGTGTGTGTATACACGTCAAAAATTTATGCAAACATGCAGGTCTGTCTGTCTGTCTGTCTGTCTGTCTGTCTGTCTGTCTGTCTCTCTGTCTCTCTGTCTCTCTGTCTCTCTGTCTCTCTGTCTCTCTGTCTCTCTCTCTCTCTCTCTCTCTCTCTCTTCCTCTCTAAATGTCTCTGTCTCGCATTATTGCCATTCCAACGGTTATGGCCGACCCGATATCCAATCCACTGAGGGCGCTGCTCGCCACTTGAGGCACAGCCCAAGGGGGATGCATGCCTGCAGGTACAAAGCCCAGAACCCTCAACCGCAATTACTAAGTTACTAAGCCCTGCTCCCGAAGCCCTAAACCAACCCTAAACTGAGGGATCCTTCTGAGGTACATCGCAGGATAGCTTTGTCAGGATTCTAAGTTCCAGGTGATTCAACAGAAGTTTGTGATTTGTCGTAAACTGGGGCTTCCTTCGAGGTATTTGCCCATCTAAGGAGCGAGCGTAGTTCACCGGATACCATAGAAGCTTGTTCAAGCAGGTCGGGGTAGTGCTGCAGCTTTGCAATGATAGACTTTGTCAGGGCGTTACCTTCGTTCCATAAAGGCATGCACAGGTCCAACTCGTACCTTATGTAGCCGATATCGCACATTAAACTCTGCTCTGACGTCTTAGATGACGACGACTTGATCGTCTCACACACACACACACACACCAACCACAATGTGTCCCTCCTTTGCTTTGGACCTGGACCAGGCCCAGGAACCCTTGCCCCTTCGAAACTCGCTGGGTGCAGGGGTGCAGGGTTCAGATTCTAGTTTCTAGCCGCGATCACTCGCAAAGATAAGCCCAGGATCCTTGCTGTGAGAAGTCCGTAACCCTAAGCAAGCGAATCACGATCCCGCATGAGTATGCACCTCTTCGTTCACGGGCTAATGTATGGGCCGCCCATCATACTATATGTACAATAAAGGAAACCCCAAAATAGTATCGGTAATTATTTCAGCCCCTATATTCAAGCCACAAATATTTGCCATGTTTCTAAATAAAAATATGTAAAGTATTTCAAGTATTTAAAGCCCCTAGATTAAAGCCACAGAAGCCCAAGCCCCAGCCATTCCCTAAACCCTCAGACCCAAAATCCGAACACCGTCCCTGCCTGCAGCAAGGAATAGGCGCCCGACCTACCCAAGAGGTCTTATAGAGACTTCGTCATGCTACTATAGGGGCCTTAATAATTAGAATAGAGTCTTGGGGCCCATTATAATACTAAAGTTACTATAGGGGCCTTATGTAATAAATAGAATAGGGTTTTGGGGGCCCATTATACTCAAGTTACTATAAGGACCCCGCCCAAACAGTGTTGGTAATTATTTAAGCCTCTATAGTACCTACCTGGACCCTAACAAAACCTACCTGTTTAAGGATTCATATATTGAAATCATGATAACAAGGGACCCTAAACATGTAGGTTCCTTAGGGGCCAGGTAAACTCTGAGGACAAGTAGACGAAACTAGGGGCCTCAACAGTTCGATACGAACTGTGGGTAAGTCGTCCTATTCGTTCATCTTACTGCTACATATCCCTGCTCCCGGGTAGGACGTTGAAAGATCTCTTGCAAAACCCTCCTCGAGTTTGCTGTTTCTTGCGCCACACCCCTAGTAATTCAGTGAAGACTTCAGCCACACATATGGGTGGTTGTCAAAATTGGGGTCCCTTTTTGGGATCCTTCTTATAATACAGCACCTAATATTTAGGGTACCAAAAAGGGGGGCCATAATTTTGACAACTACCCATATCGCTCCAGAGACCCGCACTATCAATACGAGTCTGGAAGCCCTGAACCGTTCAACCTGAAACCCCGAACTCTCATTTTGGGAAGTTTTTTTTGGCGCCTTTTTCTGCACCGGGTCCTAGGGAGTTTAGGGTTTTGGGTTTAGGGCTGAGCATGTAGAGTTGCAGGTACCTCATTCGGGGGCTATAGGTAACTTCAACGGTAGTTGCCATATTTCTACCCATAACTGTCACGTCTCATGACCCTGTACACCACGCAGTTTCGGCCCACTATCATGCAAAACCAGAAGGACTGTACAACGGCAAACTCTAGAACAAGTAACATCCAGACCTCGACTTAAGCGCCCAAAGTCTGAACCCCGGCTGTAAGAGCCAGACCAGGTGGGTGCATGTAAAGCACCGAGACCCAACCCTACACCTCGAAACCCCAGGATCCTATGTAAACCCTAAACCCTAAACCCCAAACCCTAAACCCCAAACCCTAAACCCTAAACCCTAAACCCCTAAACCCCAAACCCAAAACCGCAGCTTCAAAACCTAAACCGAGAGAGATCCCTCCGAGACCTCGTCGGCAACATACTTCGACGGATCCTCTCTAGTTAGAACCCTCGGCTTTAGGCTTGAGGGCCAAATAAGAGCCCATACATCGACAGAGTATATACGTTGGTCTCAAAGGTGTTTCCGATTTTGCAAATGTAGAGGCAGAGTCGACCCTAGAACCTAAACGCAATTTGTATCCTGTAGGCAAAGGCGAACCTCAGGCCGGGAAATGCGAGCGGCAATTTCGGCACAACAATGTTTCGAGAGCTTGGAGTTTCAATTTTAGGGGGGCTTAGGGTTTAGATGTGATTTCTTGGCCCCGGGTTCCGCTGGCACGCCAGTGATGAGCTTCATACCGGCATACAAGAGAGTGGAGGCTGCATGGAAGCAGATATGGTTGATAATCTTGATGTGTCGCAGCAGCATCGTCATTTTGATATACTTACCGGAACGGGGGTGGCATTTCAAGCCACTATAGAAGGCTTACTTATAACAAGCACTGTGTCATATACCAATATACCCCAAACTCTATACTGGTTACTGTAGCTCCTTTATTGCATGCGGATACTCAACTTCAAAACTCTGGCGACAAGCCCCATTCAGCATAGATGGAGCGTAAAGACACATAAGCAAACAACATTGGATGCGGATATCCCATACCGAGCGACCCTTATAATGCAGCCCAACAACCTAGGGGTATCCCTGAAAACTGCTCGTGCTGATGTCCTTCACGAGTTCCAGAGACTATGCAGCATGACTGTTAAACTTCCGAACCCAGGGACGACTTTCAGCCCTCTCGATGATCTCCGGAGCTCGGGTCGGTAGGTCTATTCGGATCCTTCAACCCGCATCTATGGCCAACAGAAAGTCCAGCATCGACCCCGCATACTCAACCTCAAGTGGTTCATAGATCCTAAAGCCTCAACCCTGTACCCTCGGGTGCTTAAACCCGTCCATGCTAGACTCGATTCCCTACCGTGAACATCCTCAAACACAATTCCACGCCGGTCCCCCAGGAGAAGTCCATTGTCCTGCCGGCTTTCTTACGGGTCTTGTAACCGCCAGTATAAGGATTTTCGAAAGCTCCATGAATTTTTTCCAGGGTTTTTTGGAAGTTTCAAGACTTCTGGGGTCCGATCATCTTCGGTTGTAAGGTGGTAGGTTTAGGGCTCTGGTTTGAGGCATTTTCGAGTTGAAAGCATGATGGGAGAGATACGGTAACTAGTCACAAAGACTTATGTGACTTATATCATATAGATGCAGTGTCTACAGTGATGATAGTATCATCTTGTGAAGACATTTCGAACCAGTCTTGCTACGTCCCCTGATCCTCCAAGTCAAACGGCCCAGGGCGACCGATGGACATGACGACCAAGTATCCCAAATCACTGGGCACAAACACTCCTCAAGGGTCCGTATACACATATAGTGTATGCTTTTTATGGGGTTTAGTGAAGCTGTCACCGGTTGCAGCATGCATTGTACCGAACTTGTTGAGTACAAACTTCAAGATGAAGCCAGCCGTTCGTCTGGCTAACGTCTAACACGATGGCAACCAAGAGAGTGACTTACCTGTAAAGGTTACAAAAAACTAAACCTAGCAAGGATGATCATATAGTCAGCGGAGCTCCAAGAAACCTGCCTGGCGTTCGTTCGAGTTCATCATTGTGTCAGAACGAGTCAAGAAAAAACAGGAAAACTCATGAAACCCATGCTCCTGCCAACCTTCTGACGCCGCCAAATGTTTACATCTTTTGGAGGTGAAAGTTTCTGCTGTAGGGGCCCTTAACCCTGGACTGGACCGACCCGCCGGTCCGCTACGTAGTGCAGCAGCAACATAGCTCTGCCGGTGTCCAGTGAAGCAATCGCCTCAATGCAGAGAGCTTCACAAATTCAAGCGCCCTGACCCGCCGAAGAGCCCCGAACCTAAAAACCAAAAACGAGCCCCCACACCACAACAGAACACAGCACAACAAAGAGACCACAAAACAAAACAACTATCCGCGACGCGAACACTATATCCCTGAGCCCACCTCACCTGAACCCACTCGGCAACGTCACAGTGGAACCATGCAGCCCAAAAGTCTGCTTTCATGCCCTAATTCCCTAAGGGTCCATGTACCAGTACAGCATCTTCTTTGGTGGTAAGGGGATTTTGATATCAGTACTCTGAACCCATAGAAATCAGTGCTTCTTGATGCTAAGTTCCACATGCCCACCCAGCCTCTTATCCCAGAACCCCCCGCCGTTGTGCAGCATCCTAAACCATACACCCTTTTCCGGCATGCCTACCGCCTGCCTACCATTCAAGTTAAAGAAGTGTTCTGTAGGCCAACAAACCCCAAAATTTACTCGTCACTGAAGCAAATGAAGAAAAATATATCATCTCTTTTGGGCAGGTGGGGCCCCTATCAAGGCAACTCAAGAAGCTCACTTGCAGGATCTGTCAATCTACGCCGTATCTGGGGCATACAATCAATCCCTCATGGCCATGTACCAGAAGCTCCTCCGGGGCTCCATATGCTTCACACCTCTAGACCGGCTCTACAGGGGTTCACGGTTATGCACTACTTTAAGGCCAAACTCTAGAAGATCATGAGGGTAAGCCCGGGACACTCGCAGAAACCGTGTGAAGGACGTCCTCGAGGTACCCTATCCAAAATCCACAACCCTGAACCTTTGAGAAGTGCCTGTGTGGCAATGTGATCAAACTCGATGCCCGCCTGGAAGGCTTGGGAAGCTGTGGGGTTTCAGGGACTGAAGCTTGCTGCGGGGGTCGGAGACGTGTGTAAGGCTTGTATAGGGATTCTAGGAACGTTCTGTATAAGGGTGCTGTGAAGGGTTGCAAAGAAAGTTCCGCATCAGAGAGTCCTACATCAGTGAAACGGTTCCATCAGGGTTCTGGAAGACTTCTTTAAGTGTTTTTTTGGATTCAGGGTTTTTAGGCTTTAACAGCTGAGGTTCAGGGCTCCGGTGGTTGAGCTTTATGGGCATGGTGGGCGACTTCGGGGTTCAGCTTGGCCGTCAGACCTTGAAGTGGAGGTCTTGAATTATAAGCGGCATTTGAGGCTTCATGAAGGTTTTGTCAAACACGTAGATCTTCAGGTATCACTGTTAGTCGGTCCACGTACGGTACATATAGGGTTAATGCGGATTTTGATGTGCAGCGTTTCAGGTGTCGGGCTTTGCGTGTCAAGTGTGGCTCTCGCTTGTCGACCAAAAGCCTATTGCAGCTTACGACCCTTACTGAAATTTCGGGCATAATCCACGTAGTCGTGGGGATTGCTACCAGGTACGAAGTATCATGGCACTCGGTAGCTAGGTTCATGAAGAAGGTAACCTCAAACCTGAAACCCTAAAGAAATGACCAGAAGCTCTTTAACCCGAATCCTGATACCCAAATGTTTTCGCAGAATATACATTCCAAATAAATGAAGTTCTAAAAACCCTTCCTCGGATTCCCTTCTTTCACGGCCCCGAAGCCAATGCCATCGGAGACAGGAAAAACGACAGTGCCTTCTGCAGCTTTGTGACGACCTGAGCGACTTTCAGAGATTCAAAGGCCGCGGTCTCAGGTTCACGTCGCGTCTTGGTGTGTTCAAACTTAAGATTTTGGTTTGTATTACCTGGAGCCTCGGGGATTTATGGTTGAGGAGGGTGTACGGACTTTGGGACTATGGAGTATTGCAGGACTTTGCAAGGCTTTATACAGCTGTTTGTGCTCTACTTCGGAAGAATGCAAGGTTGCAATTTTTTGTTGCTGAGTTCATAAGCCCAAAAAACGCACACTTGCAGTTCTAGAAGGGGTAAGAAAATACCCCCCAAGTGTAAGTGTCCTCACTCAAACACTACGACTGCGACTCTAAACTTGGAGGAGCCCGAACTTGTGCAGCAAGTCCCCATAGCCGACCCCCCGAGTGTCCCTCTGGAGCAGAACATCGGAACGGGCTAAACCCTTAGACCTCAAGGCATGTAAGTCCGAACTCCCAAACCCGAAGCTCATATTCATCTTGGGATACGCGCCTTAATTATTCGATTCGGGGCCGGGGTAAAATCTTGTTTGGGAGCCCCTTATGTATACATCTCCCCGACCACAGGCCCCTCGTCCACAACGATTAGCCCAAAGTCCGAGCTAGGGCCTCCCTCTACGTCTAACCTATGCTCTCAACCGGCAGGTTGAAGCCCCCGGGTTCTAAACCCTAAGCCCACAGCCCGCGCCCGCAATTTTTTAATCTACCGCAAACCTGACCCTAAACCCAAGCCCTCTACCCTCAACTTCAAAGCTAAAGTTCTCTAGAGCGCGACGGTGCCTCGTCTATCTGCTGCGGGGAAAGGTCGTCCTGGCAGTCTTTGCTTTTGAGTACATTATAACTATAGTATAATTTGCCCCCAAAACCCGATTCTAATTATTAAGGCCCCTATAAAAGATGGAATCAGGTCCAGGTAGGTCCCGAGCCCTAAACCATGGTTCCGCGCGGAGCCTCTTGGTTTTG